CAGTTTTTGGAAACATAAATTTCATTGCAAAAAGTCCATGATGCGTAATCTACTGTTTAAGCAAAATATACCAGCTTTGTATATGAAAATGTATGCAGAATCTCTAGTGTTATCACATCTTGAATAGCAAAAATCATTGCAAGTCATTCAAGGTGGGTAGACTTTAGCTCTGCTTGTCTCAAACAGTGCTATTTAAGTAGCACACACTGCTCTGTTTGGTGGCTTAACAAAATTAAAAGGAAACTTTTATGCTGACCAAAACCATTCTTTTTTCCAGTTTTTCTTATTAAAAATAAAAATAAAAAACAGATTTCTTTTGAAGTCCATTTTACCTCTTAAATTGAGCCTCATTTTGAAATAAATATTTTAAAACAACAGTGCCCAACCTTTTGGCCGCGCAGGCTACAGGAGTGGTATGGGGTTGGTCTGCAGGCTGGATCCAGTTTGTGGGCCCAATCTGGAATGCAGGGTTTGGGTCTGATCCAGCACATGGGGCTGGAGCACAATATGACTCACGTGTCTGGTCTAGCTGTGACCCAGTCCGGCTGGCACATGGTGCCAGTCTGGCTAGGGCCTAATCCAACCAGTGCCCAATCTGGCCAGTGTACAGGAACAGCTTGGCTGGGGCCTGACTCAGCCAGGGCCTGATCCTGCCAACATGCAAGCCCAAACTGGCTGGCCTGAAGGGCCATCCCAACCAAGGCCTGATTCAGCTAGCACCTGATCTGGCTGGAGTGCAAGGCCAAGGCCTGATCTAGCCAGCGCCTGGACCTGGCCAGAGTGTCGGACCAGTTCAGCTGGGGCCCAATCCAGCCAGCTCTCAATCTGGTGCGTGGGGCTGGTCCAGCAGATGGCCCCAGCCCCACGTGTTAGCTCAGGCTCTGCACCAGATCACACACATGGCCCTGACCCTGATACACAGGACCATGCAGGGCTTGGAAATTTGGCAAGGGAGGAGCAGTATCAGTGTTAATTGTCACCACTTCCTTGCTGCCTGACTTCCAATCTCAGGAGTGCCCTTTAGGCTGGATGACATAACCCCATGGGATGGATCTGATCCACAGGCCAGAGGCTGAGCACTACTGTTTTAAAATGAAAATTCAAAACATAAGAACATAAGAAGTTTCATACTGGATGAGACCATCTAGCCCTGTATCCTGTCCCTGACTGTAGTAAATAGTAGATGCTTTATACCCAGAAGCGTTAAACTCACCCCACTCCTTGTACCAGATCTGACCTGCAGGGCACCCTCAGTACTGGCTCACAAGTTTGGCCCCACAGGGTAGGTGCCACCAAATTCAGTGTTGTTGTATCCTGGTGATGATGGGATTTGGCAGCTCTGGGCAACAGTGATGGCTGATTATTAAAGCAATGCTGTCTCATACCTTGGACTTAACTTGTGGCATGCTTGCCAAGATGGTTGGTCACCACTGCTTTAGAGGGAGAGCATATGAATGAGGCACATTTAGAGTGATCCATTCCCTCAGTATCAACTATAAAAAATATTCAAACCAAAATATTTTGTCTTTTTCTTCATTTTTTTCAGCCAAAACTATTAGGCATATGCGTTCCAAGTTCGGGAATAGGGCATGACCCGAAACTGCAATTTGCATTAAATAATCTACTGATACGAAGAAAAATTTGGCCAGCTTTAGTTTCATGTTTCATAATGGAAAACCCAGGAAACTTTATGAGACGCCAAATGGGATTATCACCTTCAGATAACAAATCAGGCAATATAGCTGAGAACTCAAAGAATCTGTAGTCTAAGGGTCTGTCTACATTGTAAGGTATCCACGTTTGGGCTGGCATTTTTGCCTCTATCATTCTATCAGCTACACACAAGTCCTTATTCTCATTTCTTTGGGTAACTATAGCTCAAACTAAAAGGACGTACTCAGGTTCTGGGGATGTACCGGCATGATCTGCTATTCTCCTCTCTGCACAATCAATTTCAGTGTAGTTGCAGCATAGCTGTGTGTTAAAGTGCTTGAATACAAGCAGTCTTTTTCTGGCATTCCCACGATTCCTTATTCCCATGTATCAGGACCTCCTGCACAGCTCTCTCCCTTGCCTCTACTCCCTAAAAGAGGGACAGAACTTTACAACTCCCTGTATTTAACCCATAGTCCTCCTCATAGACTGTTCCAGGCTTTTAGCACAGCCCCTGCCAACTCCAAATTGCCAGCTAACCCCTGCTCTGCCAAGATGAGGACATGTTCCCAACAAGTGCCTAGAATATATGCCT